CGTCTACGACTATCCACCACCGCCATACGAACAGTATGCGCGCCACGACATGTACGGGAGGGATGCTGATCAATATTACTACGATCAGGTCCCTATTTATGATCCAGAGCCAAAGGCCAGCAGCCGTCCCCGACGCGCCTCCGCAGCAACCAGCCGACAGCCAGCCGCCTCCCCCAAGAAGCCCGCCCCAGCAGCTGCCCCCAAGACGACCCCTAAGGCCACCGAAGAAGATGCGCGCCGCGCTGGCATTCCCGCCGGCTACTCGTACAAGAACTGGGACCCCACAGAAGAACCCATCATGCTCCTAGGATCCGTCTTCGACGCCAACTCCCTCGGCAAGTGGATCTACGACTGGACTGTCTTCCACTACGGCCCCGCAACCCCCCTCGCCGAGATGGCAGGCGAGCTCTGGCTCCTGCTCATCCAACTTGCCGGCAAAGTCAAGAGGGCCGACGAGACCATGCCCAAGATCCGCAAGAAGGAGAACCACGAAATGGTCGAAGACTTCCTCGAGAGCGGCGAACGCCTCTGGGTCCGCTTCGCCAAGCTCCTCAAGGTCTGCGAGGACTACATGTGGAAGGCCGCTAAGAAGGAGAGCGGCAAAGAGAAGCCCGTTTCCATGGGCAAGAACAGCGGCAAGGAGTTTGTCGAATCCATCTTCGGTCGCGACCGAGAACTAGAGAAGACCGAGAAGCTCATGACTGGAATGCGTCTCTGGTCCATGCGCTTCGATGCCAACTGCGAGGACATCCTACGATACCCATCCGCTTAGGATCTCCTACCTTTCATACCTCGACGCTTTGGCGCTGGCGTTTCTGTCTCGGTATACCCTTTCCCTTGCCGTCATTGCTTTGCGCATTATTTGATGTTACCGCGAGATACCCTTTCTTGCATTTCGTAATTGTTAATCTTGCTGCATCTTATTCGCTTTGCACGTTCACAACAATGTACAACACTACCGGGTTTTCTCACGCATTGGGCGGGTCACAGGAAAAAGTCTGCTTTCTACTATGATATCCCCCTTCTTACTCTTGTATTGTTTTTCTAGCCTACTATCGTTATTTGCTGTTTGGGTTTCGGGCACGCATGGTGTTCAGGTTGTTACTCTGGGGGTACTGGGATACCACTACACTTTGTCTTCTGGGTTAGTCCACTAGATTTGAGAGATTCTCTACGGAACATCTCTATCAGAAAGATCGGTACCTCACGGTCAAAACTAGCTATACCCACTTACCACTCTATTGCTATCTACAAATTTTATTACTTATTATCAAACCATCTACTTCCCATGTCCTCGTGCAACTGCTTCTTCCGTGACTCACAAGCCCTGTCCGCCTATCAAACCCGCATGCGTCGCATTCTCCTACACAGTCATTATCAAAGTTTCCAACGGCGGCGATCTCCAAAAGCCGCGACCCCTGCATGCCAGCCACACATGGCCAATCTGAGACACAAGTAACCCTATCGCACACCTCAGATCAGTCTCGGACACATGCTTTTGCGTCTGCAACACCTGAATTTCACATGCTTTCACACACCCTCTTCTGCCTGGGTTGCCACGTTCCCAGGCTCCCAGGAGCCGCTGTCGCACTGTGAGTCGCAGACTCATCACAGTCCCTTTAGTGAATCATCACGCACGATGGTGCCTTGTTGCAGCCAACGGGCGCTTGCGCATGCACATGGCCAACTTCATTGGCTGTTTCGGGCTGTCCTCAGCCTTACCATAGAAGAAGCGCTGTGCATGGAAGCCTGCTGCAGGTTGCGTCAAAGAGGCAAGGTCATGATGTTTGCTTTTTCCGCGACCCCCATGGCCTTGAACGTGGCGTGTGAAGGCGGGAAGGATTGCCACCTATCCAATCCGACGGCCTGCAGATGAGTTCGTGCCGCCTGGCGCTGGCCCTCTAGATTGGTAGAGTGGAACGACAGCGGTTTGCTATCTTGATATCGATCCGTGCCGGGAAAAGAAATAGGGTATTGCTCACGTTTGCGTCGAGGAATGGTTGGGTTAGACGTGAGTGCACAAAGTGCTATTTACGAATGCGTTGTGGGTGGTAAGGCCCAGGGCTTTGGGATGGCCGTCGCACAGTACCTACAGCTCGCGCGCATCGCATGCAACGATGACATTACAGCGAATCTACCTACCGTCCCTCCATCCAGGGTCTCTCGCGGCCATCACAACACAGTAAAACCACCCCTTAATAGCGGCCACCTATGCGGCTCAACGTTATCAGCCTCCTTCCCTGCCTCGCCTTCCTCATAAAGTTCCATGCCACCCCATCCCGAAGCTTAGCGCACGCGTCCCTTCCCAATTCAAGATTAAGAGGCGTCGCGTTATCCCTGGGCACGGGAACTCCTTTGATAGGCACACTCTGCCTTGATCCCCGGTTATAACACGAGTCAACGTTGCGCAAGGGCACCCTGACATGGGGTGATTAGGCAACAGTTTTGATAGAGTCGCAGGATTGGCATCATTCTGCGTTTTGGGATCGACAGGCACAGAGACATTGCCCGTCGTCGGGAGGCTCGGATGGAAGGGAAGGATGGTGGGTGGCTAGTACTCCGTGTATGACAAAAGACGCGAGGTTGGGGCAGGAAGGGTTCCACGGGATCTGTTGGCTAGAACCAGGGCTATCGGCTTCCACGACAGTCTCTGCTAAGTTACCGTCATTTAGCTTTTCGGTTTTGGTGGGTGTCACGAGCTGAGTGAGCGCTGTTGGGGTGCGCCGTGTTGATTGGGTGCGGCATCGCATCTTCCTTCTTTTGTGCTCAGTGCTTTCCACGGCTGAATGAGTGTGGTACTTGGATCGTTTGTGCGAATCGCTCCAACGAACGAATAGCATTGTTCTACTCCGGCGTAGCACATGCGATCGCTTTCCAGATGACCTTTGCGTCCCAGCAAACATGTCTGCTTCTGGACCTTTCTCCGTCACGCCGGATCGCGTTCCGTCGCAACTATACGACATCATTCCGCTAAACAGGCAAGCCCATCACATCACCATGGGCGAGCACTTTGCCTGAAAGTCCCAATCGCGTCAATGCAATGGGTCGCGAAAATGCGAATCCGGGGTGCATGTGCAAGCCTCGCAGAACACCTGATGCCTACACTATCGCTATCGTCAAACCTACCAGCAGTTCATGCAGAAGCGTGACATATACACACACAGGCCATGCCCATCGGCGAGCGACTACGGTGTTTCAAAACACGTGGCCGGTGCCATCGTGCATGAACCGGTCCCCTATTCCACGTCCCTTCGCACCCAAGCCCACCCAAGCAGCAAGCGAAGCGAGTACATCAGGCAAGCCGCGGCATATGACGAATGCCAGACTAAACCCCGCCTAGACCCACCCGTCCAGTTCCTCTCCCCCTCCTGCTTATCCACTTTTGTACCCCGCTGCCACTCCGCGTGAACCGCCTTTGCCTATGTCACTGTTTCGTCTACTTCCAAGGTTTTCTTTTCACCTACCGCGTCACGGTGCCGGAGCGGAACATGGGAATCGTAATGGCGGGTAGATGGACGCGTGGTCACAAGATCGTCTATCGTCATACATCGGTCAATGCGAGATCATTCATGCCGTGCGAGCATCGAGATCGCGGCTGTTGGCAAGTTTCTGGCTACCATGATCGGAGCTGGCCGATGCGTCGCTTGTGTGGTACAATACGTTCATGGTGAGGGGTGTGGAGGGGTCGAAAAGTTTGAGCCAGAGACATGCCACGTCTATACCGCTCCCTCTGGCGTTCTGTCCTCGTTACATTGACGAATGGGAGAGTGAGCGTTCTGCATCGTGGGTGTGGTCAGCTGCGCCTTTTGGTTTGCTGGTGGGTGGCTTCGGGCTGCGAAATGGAGGATTAAGCGCTGTACCCCTCTACGTGATTGGGGTTCTTTTGAGAAATGCCGGAGAAATGCGCGCTGGGAGGCAGACTCGGATAGGCGTGTGCATACGCGCATTATTTCTTCAGCGGCACTTGCACTGAGAAACACTAACCGCCGGTCTAGGGGCAGGTGACAAGCAGGTATGATGTAACCTCATGTCGCAGACGTGAGTTCCAAGGACGACTGTCAACCTGGCGGGTACACCGCGAAGTACCCCCCACGGCCAACACAGCAACACCAAAACAATCTCGATCCGAAGCGCAATCTTCCGCCAGACCAGGACAGCGATATCCCTTCCAACTCCCACGTGCCCTCGCCAGCGTCACCAATCCCTCACTGCGCATAAGCGCCCGCAACACCACCCCTCCATGCATCCACTACCCCTCCAACACCCATTCCATTCCCATCACCCTGGCGCAAGGAGTCGTCAAAATAGCCCTTTGTCCATACCAAACAACCCCTCCATTGTATAGGCTTACTATGCGTCACAGATCGTCCCTTATCAGGTACTATCTTTGCTATTCCTGTGCCGTGAACTGCATGCACTGCGCATGCGAACACCCTTCTAGCGCGCCGATTGTTGGTTTCTATTTCAGTCGTCACATGCGAGCGGGGTAAAGGACGAGGCTGCATTCCCGGCTTATGTGATGAATGTATTGTATTGGACTAACCGGATGGAGATCGATGTCGATGCAAGGGGGAGAGGTGTGGTTACACGACAGGGTAAGGAATTCGTAGGGTTGGTGATGTGCTTTTGAAGGTGGTCTTCGGAATTTCTGAGATTTTTGAATTGTAGAGTGTGTGTTTGATGGCCAGTGTGTCGAGCAATGGCGATGCTTGAGGTATAGTCATTGCGGTTCTGACACTCATATCTTACCAGGTAATGGGTATCAATCTGTGCATACAGAAGAGCTGGTCTCGGAATGTGGTCAAAACGCAGTTGCTGTGCGGCGTATGAGGCGTAGTTGAGTTCGTTATCAGGTGTCGTGTGCTTGGGGTGAGGAGAATTCACTACCAATTCACTGCGATGATATCATATGTATACAAATACCCAAAGTGTTAACATCGTGTTCTCTTGAGAGTTTCCCGCTTGTTCAAACTTGTTGTCACGTTCTTGTCGAAGCCGATATGTCAGAAGCTGTACATTCAATTGCGAAGGAAGGAGATCGGAGTCACGATAGCAAAGGCGACTTTCCTATCGACGAGGCTGTACTTCGAAGTAAGCAGACTACCAAACATTAACCAGTTCTTACTGATATCTTCAATAGCTCTACCCGAAGGTAGCAACGTCCTCTCATCTAACCGCCATGGCTTCTCTGACTGGACCGTCACTGCTCGCTTGGTCGTCCTCCTCCCAGACGGCGTCGAGAAGAAATACTTCCTCAAGATCGCCACTGAAGAAGCTGGCCGGGTAATGATGGAAGGCGAGTACAACTCCATAGCCTCACTCTACGAGATATCGCCAGACTTCGTCCCTAAGCCTCACACCTGGGGCAAGTTCAAGCTCGAAGCGCCAGAGACATACTTCTTCCTATGCGACTTCATCGATATGACGAACACCCTGCCAGAACCTACCCTCTTCTGCGCCAAACTCGCGCAGTTGCATAAATTCAGTCGATCGCCAACAGGAATGTTCGGTTTCCCTATCCCAACCTGCCACGGCCGCTTCGCACAGGAAGTATCCTGGGACCCAAGCTGGCCCAATTTCTTCACAAAGCTCCTCCGGACCGCCCTTCGATCGAGAAAAAAGAGAACGAACCATGGCCAGCGTACGAAGCAACCTCAGCCCGAGTGCTAAGCCACGTAATCCCCCGTCTCCTCGGTGCGCTCGAAGAAAACGGCCGCCAGATCAAGCCATCGCTCATCCATGGAGATCTATGGGAAGGTAACGTCGCCACAGATGTGTCGAACGGCAATATCTACATTTTCGACGCTGGTGCGTATTATGCGCATCATGAAATGGACCTTGGTATGTGGCGGTACGAAAGATACGAGTTCGCGAAGAAGGCAGAGTACAAGCAAGAGTATCTTCGGGTTATGGGTGTGGATGAACCGGTGGAAGAGTTTGATGATCGCAACCGGTTGTATTGTGTTAAGATGAATGTTGTTCGTTCGGCGCATCATCCGGGGTGTGAGGAGAGGGAGATGTAAGTTTGACTTTGGACTGCTGAGTAGAAGGTGTACTGACGACAATTTAGGGCGTATAGGGATATGTGCTACCTTGTTGATAAGTATGCTCCATATGCACCGGGTGGAGAGCCTTCACCGACCACTGTTCAAGAAGAGGTACCCGATACTGTATGTCAAGGAGGAGAAAGCTTTGCCAGGTCAACTGGTGTCTGGAACAACCAATCTGGGAGTGTATTATCGGTGTAGAGCAGCTCCGAATCCATATTTACATCATGGCAACTTCTTAATTTCAACACCTCAATGGCTGACTTCGACGTTCCCGTCTCCAATTCTTTCCAGAAAGCTGTAGTAGAAACACCATAGGTACTGACGATAAAGTAAGGCCTGTTAATGAAGTAAAAGTCCATCCTGTTCCCAACTTCGAGATGATAGCGTCTAAAGCCGCCAGAGCTGCGGCCGCGAGAACGCAACGGAATAGATTGGCAGCCGCACTAGCTGTTGCAGGACGCACCGGATTGATATCGACGAGCAAAGTACCACAAGCCTGTGATCGTTAGTAGGCTTCTCTGATGCGCTTGATGACATACGTACGTTGAACACTCCCGTGATGGAGGCGCCGATGAAGAATTGCAGAACCAGAGGCACCGCAAAGTGCTAGTGAGATTTTAGTACTATCAGAAATGAGCGACATATTTGATGACTCTCTTACCGTAAGTCTATCCAAAGCCCATCCGTACCCGATAGTCGTCACTGCAGCAACGCTCATGTAAAAGTATGTAGCCCGCAAGCGAGCCTTCTCGATAGGAAAGTCAAGAAGATCATCGCCGCGCGTTTGATTAATCGAGAAGCCTGAACTAGACGCGACTTTACGATACTCCCAGTTCATCACGTACCCTGCTTTCTGTTATCGATGAGTCTGTGTGTACTTGGTATGCGCTACTTACCGCAAGTGTATGAAGCCAAAGCGCAGCCGACTCCAAACGGAATGTATATCAAACCAGCATACAGTTCTTCGAAGCCATAAATTGTTATGAAGAGAGTTGACAGTGATGCTTGAACGCAGCAGTAAGTCATGTAAAATAGGCCGTTGATGAGCATGATCAGTGCGTTCTCTTTCTGCCAGAGTGCTTTGAAGCAGGGCTTGAGACTGGGCATTCGCACCGACTGAACATCGATCTCGCTCTCGTAGCTCGTTGGTGAATTATTCGATCTTACTCGAGCCAAGTAAGACCTGTTCAAAAAGCGTGTAGGCATGATCGACCCATTTCCAACAATCTTCCGAGCAGTTTCTGGGAGCGTAATGGCGAGTATAAAGAAGTTAACACTGGATAGTATCGCAAGCGTCCAAAAGATCCAAGGCCATCCGGCGTATTGGACGAGTATGCCACCCAAAACGGGACCGAGGCTGGGCGCTACGTTCGGACTAGGTCATAGTAATTAGGAAGACCGTCGCGTTCATAACGTGGTTGTAGCATACCCCAGTAGAACTGCTCCAATGTAGCCACCTCGCTCAGCAGGCGTAGCAATATCACTGACAACAGCGTAGCCGAATGAAATCGTGCCTAAAGATCCTTCACATCAGCAAGCACCTTGACAAGAACAAACTCCCGCAAACCCACCACTACTCCCCGCACTCTGCACCATCCTCAGCACAAGCAACGCGGGATAACTCCTCTGAACCGCCAACCCCACATTAGCAACCGTATACGTCAATATCGCAAACAGAAACAGCGGTCGGCGGCCCATGGTATCAGCCATATCACCCAGTAGCGAAGGCGCTATCCCCGATACAAGCATGTATGTCGTGATCGACAGATTGGCCATTGTGAGCGTGATATCCAGATCCTCGGCGATATTGAATAGTGCGGGATAGTATATGAAGCTGCTGAGCGGGGAGAAGAGGCCTGCGTATGCGACGAGGAAGACTATCCAGCGTTTTTCGCTAACGGTAAAGATGGAGTATGGAGGTGTGGTGGGTTGTTGGTCTTGCTCTGGAGCGGGAGCGGGAGCGGGAGCGTCGACAGTAGCTTTTTCGCTCATACTGGGCGGTTTCGGTATAGCAGTCGTAGCGATTACGGTGGTAGACGGTCACTACAGTCAGAGAGGGTCGAGTGCTGGCCCTTGCCGAAAGGATGAACCGATTGGTGGCTATGCGCCGCAGTTGGTCGGTTGCCATCCTTCTGAACGACAAGCGAGTAAGTCATGTGACAAGATATATCTAGGTACATCAGCTATATCCGGGAATGTTCCTACGCAAACGAGATGCTGAGTGTTTGTGGCCGCACTGCCCATGTCACATATCTTAGCCGCATCGGCGCCACTGAGCAGTCTCTGCAGACGACCTCGAATTGCCGTCCAAGGAACTTCGTTGCTGGAATGTATACTTGAAAAAATTCGCTATAGTCCCGTATAGCCGGCTGCTACTAAGCGTGGCTTTTCATACTATCATGTATCGATCGTGATCCTTCATCCAACTCAGCTATCTATTAGCTCCGACAGTATGGTATCTCATGTCGAACACGCACAGTAACGAGAAAACTGATCCATCCTCCGGACAACCCCTTCATGAATCCAACGACTATGCAGCACTATCCCTCAACCTCTGCTGTTCCTCCTCAGTAAGCTGTCCAAACTCCTCCGCAAAGCCCTGCGTAGTCGCCGCGCGCTTGAAGAAATCCACCAAGAAACCCTGCGTCTCGTCGTCGCGCTGACGGCCACCACCCGGCTCTTCAGCAGCAAAAGCCATGAGCTGCTCTTTGCTGAAGCCACTACCGAGGTCCATGAAAGGGTTTGCCTCGTCTTCCCATTCGCCGTCGTCGGAGTCTTCTTCGGCGAGCTCAGCAGCTGCTTGTGCGTCGAGGGGTGCGCCAGAGGCGGATTGGAGTTCGACGACGAGGACTTTGAGGATCTTGAGGGGTGCGGGTACTATGGTATACTTGTCAGGATCTGAATTCGTGTGTCAGTTTGTGGATGGGCGTAAGAGGAGTTTATCGCACTGGTTCGCGACAACGACACTACGGCCTACAAATCTGCTCCACAACATGACAATCACTGCGTTCAGTGGCAAAGGCAGGGAGTTGAACGTGAAAAGAGAAGACTTACTAGCTTTCGCGCGACTCCTGGTCATGATGCGGCCATCGGTATTCGGTATCAAGTCACCCTGCACTTGCACCTGCGCAAGACGAGGGTCCTTCAAATCATACAATTTTGAAAGAGCGATGACACTGCGAACCAAAGTCAGCAATTATGCACAGTCAATGAGTAAACAAAAGAGGAGGAAGGGGGAGTTCAACTTATTCCGAACGATCTCAAGCCGTCCGACAGGCTTTCTCCGTTCGTAAGAGAACTGCTCGATTTCCGGAGAGGTTCGTACGTACTTTTGTCGGATCTCGTCGTAGCCGGCGAAGTTGATCGAGTTTTCGAGCCACTTGGCTAGCACAACCTGGAGGCCGTTTTGGCCCTCGATGTCCTGGCCAGCCAGGAAGTCTACCACCTCTGAGGCATGGTTCAAGCTTAGACGCGCGAATACGAGCGTCAGACTTTGGATGAACTGTGCTTGTGTTGCTTGACCTAGGCGGACAGCGACACTTCGTAGAAGCTGCTCTAGGTAAGGTCCAAGTCGTTCGTGGCCGGCCTTCTCTACTACCTCTGCGGCAAGCGCACCGACTTCGCCAGCAGCATGGTCGCTGCATGACGACAACAAACGTGAGACGATGATGAGAGTTACCTCAAGACCCGCTTTTCCGGTGTCATCTCGCCATTCGAAGAGCTGTTGGTGGTCGTGCGAGATGATGTTCTTCACGGCAGTCGTAGCAGATTTCAGCAGTTCCTCATCGGCAGAGCCTAGCAGGACTCTCGTGAGCTTTGGCATAGTTGTAGCGACAAAGCCAGCGGGGAGCGGCTCTGGTCCATGCTCAGCCATGACAGCCAGAAGATCAGCAGCAAAGTTGCATAGAGCATTCTCCTCCGTCAAGCTTCCGACATCAAAGGCACCCATAAGTGATGGAAGCACCCTTGCGCACAGTTGAACGTATGCATCCCCACCCATCCGCGCAATAGTCTCCGTCACCTCTTCGAAGGCTTCAGTGACGAGCATGGTGAGTTGGAAGTTGTTAGCCTGATGACTAGCGATTCGGAAGAGGGTGTCGAGACCGTTATCTGTGATGCATATCCGCGTATCAATAAGTATGGCGTCTCGGAGTGTTTCGACGAGAGTGACCATAAGATCTTCACTGTCGCTGAGCTCTGACATATCTTGTGCAGCCAGGTAATTGCTGATGGCCATGATGATAGGTGCTTGCATGGGCTGTGTAGTCGCGGGTGGGAGCGCCTGGAGATAGTATTGCAGAGCGCGGATACATGACACTTGGACAACGTCGGATTCATCGGATGGAATAGCCTGTAGCGATGCCTCGAGGAAGGATGTGCCGAGCTGCTGTAGAGCGTCTCCGGATGTCCTTGTCAAACTTCCAGCGACAAGGTAACCGCGTGCTCTCAGGAAAGCGTCGGGCTGCTGCATGGCATACCGAATGAAGTCCACATAGCCGCTTGCAGCATCGGGGTTAATCTGCTTGTCCACGTCCTGGAAATCGCTCAACAGTTGGTTCAGCACGTAAAGCGCCGCTTCTTTAGCTTTCCAGCTCTCAGACTCGGAGTAGAGCGCTCTGGTGTAGGTCAACAAGCCGTTGACAGTAGGCTCTTGCAGCCATTCGCCAAGCTTGATGACGAGGTCACCACAGGCTGTGCGGGGCGTGTAGTTCGCGGTTACGCTTGTCTCCTCGCTCAGGAATATGTTTACATCCACATCCCAGAGGCCCTCCTCTTCTGTAGTGATTTGCGCATACGCCACGGCCAGCTTCATAACCTGTGTGACCCATGAGTTGTCGGGTGTCTGGTTTTGGAGTTCCTGTTCGAGTTGCGCGCGGACCGGGGGTGCACGAAGACACGCCTGCATGAAGTCCAGCTCCTCCAGAATAAGGAAGTCCAACGTGTACGGCAGACCATCGGCATCTTCGAGCCTGCTCTGGCGATCCTCTTTTATGTACATGAGAGAGTATGCGGGTTCCAGCAGGGATAGCTCCTGCCATGTCGCCTGGAACAAGACGATGCTTTGCGGCGAGAGGATCGCGGGGAAGACGGACCGTATGCGCATGAGGACCTGCGAGCTGTTAGTATCGGGAATACCTCAAATGAAAAAAGTAAATAGGCCTGGAGGCTACATCATGATTATATCACGCAAAATGGGTGACCTAACGTCGATGTAGCCTCCAGGGTGTTCACCTTTCGACACGACGTACCTTGACTGACTGTAGCTTGAGCGCAATCTGTCCCTTGTAGAGCAGGGCGTTGGGCGCATCCGAGTCCTCCTCATCGATTGACGGCGGATCAGGTAGCCTGTTGTTGAGGACATTGACGAAGAAGGGAATCCACTCCTTGAGTATCTCATCCGCGAAGCTCTTGACCATAGTCTTGTGGTCCTCCAGCACCATCTCGAGGATATCGAAGCAGCCATGGAAGACTTTCACAGCCAAGGCCCTCAGCGTCGGCTTGGTTTGCTCGCTGGTGGCCACATTGAACAGGACCTTGATCATCTGAGGCGCGACCTGGAAGAAGGTCGTCTCGTTGAAGCAGTCCTCCACCAGCTCACCGAGGACCCTAAGAGCGCCATGCAGCTGGCCTTCGGTCGCGTTCGGTATCAGTGCGAGGAGGTTATCGAGGAGGTCTGGCCATTCGATGGGGTAGTCGGCGCTTGCGATCTTGCTCACGACGAGGCCCGCGGCGGCCTTGAGCTTGCGGTCGAGCCCGTCCTGGGTAGCGAGGTTGAGCAGCTGCTGCCGTAATATAGCCTTGTTCTCTTCAGACACCAGCGCCTGCCCCTTCCACTCGTCGAGGCTGGAACTCCATCCCGCCAGCACAATGTTCTTCAGGTACAGGACGGCGGCCTGGCGGATGTTGAGCGGCACGCTGTCATGGCAGGCGATGCCAATGAGGCCGAGGGGGAGCTCCTGGTGGCCGTAGAGGGAGAGGAGCTGCTGCTCAGCGTGTTTGCGCGTGTCCTCCTGGGCGGTTTGGGTTGCTGATAGCAGCTGGACTAGTTGGTCCTCCATGGTCAACGTGGGGCATGCGCGTATAGAGCTAGTCGGCACGTCTAGCGCTCCCCAAAACGGCTGGCGAGGTAGAAGGATCGGTTGTTGACGCGTTTGTTGATGGGTGCTGCTGGGTGATTGAGCGCGAGGAAAAAGAACGCGCTCGGAGATGCGGGGCAACTCCGTGAATCTCTGGGTGGTGGGGTGGCTAAGCGGAGGCTATAGCTGGAGCAATAAGCCGCGACGACTGCACATAGGTAGCAGATGGGTATAGAGGGCAGAGACTAATACAGAAGTAAGCCGAAGTATGGCAGCGGGGCTATAACGAAGGGCGAGGTGGCCAATTGCCCGACAGGCGGTGACGACGATGCCTCTTCCCAGTTCCCGGTCGGTGGAAACGCGACTATTACCTACACCTTCGCCTCTCCCCGACCCTCCCCTTGCTGCCACGTTGTTATCCTCAACAATGCCAGGGGCACTCGACACAGCATACGCACCACGTCTGCCATACCGATCAGCAACCCTACCAGAGCCGTGACCGTTATCCATCGACACGCTAGCGGCCTTCACGCGACGAGACGCGTCTGCGTCATGACTACAATCCGCTACTCAAAGTGCACAACACTATCTCGTACCTCAGGCGCATACATAATCCGTTTACGAATAGAACAATCACACCCCTGATACCATACGTCACACACCTACCGCGACGATGCCAGCAACCTACCTCGAAACCCTCAACCACTTCACCGCCTTCCTAACCGCCTACACGCATACGCTCCTCCACCACCGCGGCATCTACCCCTCCACCTCCTTCGTCCGATCCCGCTTCCACAACGCCGTCGTCTACCAATCGCGGCACCCCCTGGTCTGCGAATGGATCACCGACGCCATAACCGCCGTGCGCGAAGAGCTCCTCAAGGGCGTCGTCTCCAGAATCGGCATCGTCATATTCACCTACGATGAGTACGACGAAGGCTCAGGCAGCGCCAAGATAATGGAACGCTACATGTTCGACGTGAGCGAGTTTCCTGTTGTGGAGAGGCGAGATCGCATGTTGGGTATTGAGTTTGAGGGAGGGCCTATGCTGGAGACGAAGGGGAAGGGGAAGCAGAAGGAAGAGGAAAAGGAAATAGAATATAACAATGATGGGACTATAAAGAGGAAGAAGACGAAGCCGTTGGATACTGGTGTGGATGCTAATCTCGGCGAGCAGTTTCGCGCGGCGTTGCTGCAGCTGGAGGTGCGGACGTCTAGGCTGGAGCCTCTGCCTGAGGGTTGCACGTTCAATATTAGTATGGAACTCAAGGATGAGGGCGATATCGATCCGCCGATTGGACATCCGCAGGTCTGGCAGCCGGTTCAGCCTAGTCTGCAGAAGACGGGGAGGGGTGCACTGTTTAGGGATAGGGATGTGTTTGATGAGGAGGCCTTTGAGTTGGGGATACGGAGGGAGAAGGAAGGGAGGGATTTGGGTGGAGCCAAGGTTACGCCAATACGCAGTGTGCAGGCGGGTGTTTTCAGGTTTGAGAACTGGATAGAAGAAGGCAGGGCCAAATTTGAGAGCCCAGAAGACAGCATCCCATCGAGCTTCTCGAGTTTTTGACCGTAGACGTTTGAACAAATCAAATTTGTGAATACAATTTTCTGTGGAGTATGAAGGTTCTTTGTTTCTGACCGAGGCTCCTGTAGTGTCGCGAAAGTTAGATGTATTGAGGACGGATTTCGAGAAATTCTCTATATTAAAGATAAGCCTGACTACTACATAGACCTTCTTCAGAACTTCTATCGTGGGTAAGTTGTGTTAGATGCTCCAGCTCCAGCCGCGCCAGCAGAGGCAGACAGAGTTTCAATGCCACCATCATGCTATGCTATAGTATGAATCCCATCAAACGAAAGTACGCTATCTGCCAGGGGCCTGGGGCGCCATACCACGACGCCGTCGCCTATCAGCTACCATCGCAGCTGCTGCTACCCGTCGCGCCTCAAGCAGAGCCTCAAGATTCTGTTCCCCCACACCCAACCGCGCGCGCTCTGCTGCGATTCCATGTTGCCTAGCTGCCACGGTATGACGCATGGCTCTCGCATTTTCATCAAGGTTTTGTCGCGCGGCAGCCAACCGCGCGCGCTCTGCTGCAAGCTCCTGCTGTCTAGCTCTCAAGTTCTGACGCACGGCTATCTGCTGCTGATCCTGGCCAAGTCGAACATTGTCTAGGAAACGGAAAGCCTCGCGAGCATCGCGCTGCGCCTGTTCGCCGTTGACAATTCGATGAGGGCCGCCCAATTCCGGTCGGGCATTGCGCTGGCGAACCCGTTCATTGATTCGATCAATAGCTCCATTAGCTTCGGGAAGGCGAGCTGGTTGGCCTGGTCCGTTGACTTGTCCCCTCCCAATGCCGAGTTGCGGAAGGGGGTTGGGTGGGAGCATGGCCCAGAGGGCATTGAACAGCCGAGGTCTAGCAATATTGGTTAGACGGATGATAAAAGTGACACCGTGGACACGGCGCGATCATTGGCATCGGACGTTGAATGTATGGCTGATGTGGCTGCTGTGGAATGGCTCCGTAGAAACCCATAGGCTGAACGGGCTGAGCAGGATAGAGATGTTGATAGAATGGGAATGGTTGGACGGGGTATCCAAACGCAGGCATGGTAGGCATGGCAGGCATAGCTGGCATAGCTGGCATAGCTGGAAAAGCTGGAAAAGCTGGCATAGCCGGCATGGCTGGCATGGCTGGAATGGCTGGGTGAGGGTGGACGTACCGATCTGCTGGGGCGACATTTGCTGCTATTCCATTGAGGTGAGCCGGCGGCGCAGGTACTGGGGCCACCATGGGGGCTCGCCTGAGCTGCTCTCCGACCATGTGGTAAGGGAAGGCTTGCGCTTCTATGCCTGCTCGACCTTTCCGTGCATCTTCTGCTTGCTTCACTCGATCTGAGACCTTGACCATCAAATCTGCATCTGAAAGGCCTGGATTATCGACTCGGACTTTGGCCATGGCCTCATCGGCTGCGCGCTTGACCTCCTGTTCGTGGCGGTCTTCGACGTTTTCGTGTAGTGGACATTTGCCTGCACGAGACTCGCCGAAATGGTTATAGTCTGTCACGTTCTTGGAGCAGACGTAGCTAGGCTTTTGTCAACTGATGTTGGGATAGTTTAGGCTGGTGACTTACCATTGCACATTCCTACAGTGCGTGCATGTCATCTTGTTGCAGCCAAGTTCCTTGACGAAAGGATGTTTGCATTTGTTGCAGTGTCGTATCAAGGCTGCCGACATCGCTTCTTCGACAATGTGTCGCAGGGTAATTTGGCCATCCTTCCTAAATTCCTCGCAGCTGAGTGGGATGTGAGACTCCCTTTCGCAAAGGCGACAACTCGTCTTGCTGCATTTGGGGTTTTGACAGCGGAACTCCTTGTCGACCTCGACCGGCAAACATTCCATTTTGAAGTCGCAGAATGGGCACTCCGAGAGGAAGTCCAAACCCGCCGCTTCCAAGTCTTCTCTTTGCTGCATGTGCTCGAGTCGCTCGAATGTCTTGTCGCTCAGAACCTGTTGCAACTGTCGCCGGGTGAACGTTCCATTGCAGTCGTCGACTCCGAAACACTTGGGTCTGCATCGAGATTGACCCATCTGCGTCTCGATCTGTTGACGGGGACAGTCTACGCAGTAGAAGTGGGTCGTGTCTCCGTTGCAACTTATCATGCGGTTGAGAGGAACGTCGTTGAAGCAACATGCGCATTCACCCATTTCATTGTTCATTTGCGCTCGTTTTAAGTTGTCTTCTTCCGCCTTTTCCTCGTCTTTGACCTTTTGGCGTTTGGCTGTAAACTGTCAGTAGGGAACAGATGAAGGAGACCACACGATCTTCGCTGTTCTGAGACACAGGGTTTGAAGTCCTCCATTGATCTCCTGGAAGATCATGGTCACGACATCCCACTTACCAGCTTCAGCTTCGCTCTTCTTCTTCGCTGCGTGCAACTCCTTGGGTATCTGACTGCCTTGCTCAATCAACTGGAGTTCAATACCGCGCTTGATGCGTGATTTGTTTATCTTCGAATATGTCCTGGCAATTTGTCCGTAGTTGCGCACTTGTTGTTCAATGACACCGTAGGCCTTGTAAAGAGTCTGCTGCTGTTTGAGAACGGTCGTGATATGCCGCACGGGTACAGTGAGGAATTCGTCTTTGAGTAGCTCTGTTCTGTGGGAAGTATCGTTAGTACCACGAATGAAACGGTGGACAGGTATAAAGACGACGCGAAGGCGTTAAAGGTGCGCAAAGAAAATTGTAGCGGATGACTACAGAATTGTTGTTGGTGTTGCTGTTACTGCGCTGGCCCATAGGCGAAGTGCAATGTCCACGGCAGTCGTTCCATGGTTCCAGGTGTAATAAAATGCTCGCTTCACGATCCACCTGGAATGATGGCTGCCAATCAACCCCGACTCTTGACGCTTTAAAACATCACTGAACCATAAAGCGCATAGGGCTGAGTCCGTGAAGGAGTTGTACTTACGCGTCATGTTCATAACCGCCGATCTCGGGGTCACGCTCGCCCTTCTCGTAGGTGCTTAACTCACCCTCGGCTTCGTCATCCCTCTTTCTCTTCTTGTTCTTCGCGTCGTCTGATTCTTTTGGATATGGCTCGCCTTCCAATAACTCCGTGAGGAAATGCTCGCATTGTGCGGTTGTTCGTGTGGTGTCTGTCATCTTTTCTTGGGTCAAATTGAGGACGTAATCGACCGAGATATCCGGCAGCACGCTCAAAATCATCTGCAAACAGGCAGCTTCGGTGACCAATGCGATCTGCTCACCCCAATCTGGAGCTCGTCCCTCGGGCGGTGGTCTGTCGTCTTCTGCCACGACAGCGTCAGACGGCGGAACGTCAATGTCTGGAATGTCGGTCAAGTCGATCACTTGACGGTCATTTGCCTGGAATTCTGCGCGGAACTCTGCGATAGGATCATCCAGATCCGGGAAGTCGAGAGCGAATTCTGCTGCAGATCGTGCGTCGAAGGCCTCCAATTCGTGTCTTGCAAGATCCTCGTCCTCCGTCTCACTATCGGAGAGTAAATCAATCACTTCATGATCGCGATAAATGCCAGTTGGAGCCATCGCAAGTGTTCTGCTGTAATAGTCGTAAGGCTAGTTGACGGGTGAACCTCCACCTTGAAGGGTTGCTATCGGGTGTGCGTCTAAACCAAGCGATGTAGAGTTTCTTGGGTACCTTGGACGGGGGAAACCAAATAATAAACATTAATCTGTACCTAGCGGAGAAACCTGGGGAAGGAGTGAGGGGCGATGGAACTGCAAACGCGTGTGGTGTTTACGTGATTCAGACCAGCTCAATTCACACGGACGTAGCCTTGTCGCTCACCCCACCAGTTGTCGGAGGAGGCCTCTCACCGACTGATAGGCACTAGCTGAAGGGAAGAAAAAGGAACAAACGAAAGTATGAAAGTGACGGGTTTCACACTGCAGCTCGCAGCGGAGTGAGACTTGAGTGTTCCAGGTGCAGGCCGCTGGGAGATCGAGGAGCTATTGCGGCCCTGAGCCAGCGAAACGGGCAAGGGCACCAGTCAGGTAAGAGAGCAGAGGCAGTAGCTATGTGCCACAACAGCGCATGTCAATGAAATGCCATGACAGTACCGCCAGCGCTCAGCGAAGCAGAATGGCGTGTCGTCGTGAAAGGATGCTGCGCCGCTGAAGGCTGGGCGGGAGATGGGCGTCTCGCCCAGATGATCGTGCAGTTCGCTCCAGGCCGGCCCCAGGGCTCCGCTAGCCCAACTGCCGCTAACCGCATCATCACGAGCCTGCGCGCGCGTCGCACAGGGCTGAGAAGAAGCAATGTCTGCGATCGGTCTTGGTGATGCTGCCAATGGACGCGCGAAGCTTTTGAGACCATGACATGCAAACTCCCGCCTTACTGCCTGGCCTCATGCAAGGCCCGAGCTACTCGCGAATCGGACAGGCGCACATGACCCGTGGGAAGCTGTGACATCCAACCCTCGCTTTGCCACGGCACACCTCGGGCCGCGAGCAACATGATGTAGGCTCGGAATACTTGGAGGACACATGGAGTCAGCTATAAGATCACTCGGAGCTCAAGGCGGAATGGGGCCACCGAAACGCGGGGCGCCCTTGACTAGACAAAGAACTACAGGTACCAACTTCCTCTTCTTCCTTAGCTATCCGCATCCTGCAGCGAAATCGACGTAACTTGGACCCGCTATTTACTCTTTCCTGAGTCGTTACTGCCACTTGATCTGGAAGACTGCAGCTGAGCAGGACCGAATCCACATCTGTCACGCCCTACGACAAGCGTAGTCGACAGCTAGATATAAGACCCTAGCTATCTTCGCCAAAGGCCAACCTATTAGATCAAGTCTCAACATACACCTACCCTAAATAAAATACTACAACATGGCCATTCCATCCATTCTCGATAACCTCAAGGACGGTGACTCGCCTGACCTGGAACTCGTTCACCCTACCGAAGCGGAAAAGCAGATACAGTTCAACGCCAACGCCAACGAATGGCGCGGTGCTCTATCCAAACCTGCCTACTTTCGTCGCGAGGCCACACTTTCGCAAACAAACCTGACACGTGATGGCGGCATTTCATACTGGATCCTAGCTGACCCTGACAAGACTGTGTCGGAAGACCCTTGGAACCCAAGTTCAGGCACCCAACTACCAAAGGGCACCCGACTGCCACTAGCGAGCTGCGAAACGATCCGGAAGAAGGCGCTCGTGTGGGAGAACGGAGAGCTTAAGGAAGTCATCTGCCATGGGGTCGGCAGTGTATTCTGCGCAGAACCTCTCCGCGCGAAGAAGACCGGGAAGAAGACTGAGAGCTATGCGAGCAGAATGCTGAAGGAGCTTGGGAAGAAATTGAAGACTCACCAAACAGAAGATGGCCAAGAGTCCTTGTTCTCAATCCTGTTTTCTGACATCGGGCCAGTGAGTAGCTCTGACATTCTGAGAATGGACATTGCTAACAAAGACAGAAATACTACGCCAAGTTCGGCTGGGAACCTTTTACTTCGTCACACGTCTCTATCCCCTCGAGCACATTTCAAGATACGAGCAGCCTACCTACCGCTAAGCCACTCTACGCGCGGGACCTGGAGGAACTATGCAAGATCGACGAAGCCCTTCTCCGCCGGAGCCTAGAGTCGCGACCCAAGAATAGCAACATCGCAGTCGCAATACTTCCCAACATCGAGACGATCCAATGGCACCACGCGCGTGAAGAATTCGTAGGTAACGAGCTGCACGGTAAGAAGCCGGAGATCAAAGGCGCGGTTGTCGGTACCGAGAAGGGCAAGCGCGTTTGGTGCTACTGGACCAGGATGTGGTACAACGAGAACCCAGCTGAAGCCAAGGGCAACACACTGCATATCCTACGTTTGGTAATCGAGGACGATGGCTTTGAGGGCTCTTCGGGTAGCACGAACGGCGGATCGAAGAGCCACAGTCACGAAGACGCCATCGCGGCGCTCATGGCAATGGCCCAGCAGGAGGCGCAGAAATGGAAGATGGAGAACGTAGAGATGTGGGCGCCTTCGCCGGCGGCACTGGCAGCTGCAAAGAAGCTGGACCCGGCTGCAGAGCTCACTGTGAGGCAACAGGAGAGCATCGCGGCCTTACAGTGGTTTCCAGAACACGACGGACCGGTTGCTGACAAGATTGACTGGGTCGCGAATGAGAAGTACGGGTGGTGTTGAGAAGCGGAAGGCGCGATCCGGATTCGATAGATTGATAGATTTCCATGCATTGCTGCCACCATTGAATAGCTCGCAAGGTCGTTGATGTGATGTTGAGGGCGCAATGTGGGCCCGGTCTTCCAAAAGAGAGGTGGAGGGTTGAAGGATATCTTCCTCGACCGACTGGCAAGCCAGAAAGGATCAATGAAAATAAATAAAGCCTGTCAGATTGCCATCAACATCCTGCTTTCCAGTGCGGCCGAAGCACACGACCGGTCAGCTGAGATCATCGCCACAACCGCCGAAGCAGTTGTAAAGCCTCACTCTTGGATGTCGAGGCTGATAGTCATCAACCAGGTTGGAGATTCTGTGGCTACTTAGAGTAACTCAGAAGAGGACGCACACTATTAGAAATGATTCTATGAAGTACTGCGCTGCTGTTAGTGTTTGAAAAGATGGGGTGATCGGGGAATACTCGCTGGTCTACTGAGGAAGCAGGAGGAGGGACGGAGAAACTGGTCAACTTAAGCACACGATGGCTTGGCACGCGCTAGCGCCGCACAGACTGAGAGCGACATTTTCGAAGTTTTGTGGGGCGGCAGCCGAGAATTTGCCGCCGACGTTCTGCCGGCCCTGCTAGCTGGGCTGCCGGAGTGCTGCCGACTGGCCGTGCACAATCAAAGGACAATGGTTTCCTGAGCACAACATCATACACATCGCACTTTGTCAAGATGTTCATGAGCCAGAGATCTAGTAAATACCTTCGGCAACGCTTGAAATCCAGAAAGATCGAGTTTCGTCGTCAGCTGCTGTTCAGAGCGATGCACGATATTTCCAACGTTCAGAGATGTGCTGCGCTTCCATACCGCTACACTCTCGCTGCTCTCCATCCGGTAGTCACCAATCACCGGATTCTACCTTCTATTTATCAGCCTCCCAAACTACATATGAAATAGCAGTGCCATTTATCTCTCTGTGAGCGGCGTCACCCGTTCTCAAATCACGAAGAACCTTGGAAGCTGCTCCTAGCTGTACACATTGCATGCTATGAACTCTACCCCAGACGTATACATTGTGCGTTACCATGACAGAGTATCATTACGAAACACACTGTGTACCTCCAGGGCGTGTCAATGTCTGCGTCTTTGCAGATACGCGCCTCCATGTATGCAGCAACCACGGTATAGCCCGGATGCATTTGCGCCACTACTCCTACATTCAACTTAAAGACTATCAAAAATCTGGCCGATATCCAGCGCGATGAATCGTCAGCCCATCTGATGTCAATGTGAGCCCCACTCCAAGATGGACGGGACCTCTTCCCGGACCGCGCACCAAGTTGACTTTTCCCTCACCGGACAATGGAGCCCGGAGACTTCACAGTACTTTGACTTTACGTTCATGGCCTACAAAACGTATTGAAGTGCTACTGGCTTCATCATGAACACAGAGAGTGGGAGATATCAAGCCAACGTATACGTCCAGCTGAGCAGATTTGCTAGAGATCTTGACACCAGTTCGGCTATTCTAAGAGGTACATCCTTGAACTTACCGCGATCCAGTCTTTTCGCGTGTTACTATTAAGATACAGCATGCAAATGATGAGTCGTGACAAGAGAACATTGCTCCAAGACATGTTGAGCAGCCTGCAATGAAGTAGAGGCTTGAGGTATCCGACACGCTTTTACCGACACTTCCTCAATCCAAACGTACGCTGAGGTAAGCCAGGCTCTGCTTTGATTAATCCTACAAGACATGATAAGCCTACGTATGCGGCAAATATGTAGGCTGCTTTGCATCTATTGAGCGCGTCCTTCGCTTCGGGCGTGGTGTATAGGGCTTGCAGCCGCCTCTACTACTGACACAACTAGTACCGCAAGGCGCCACTTGAATTTCACCCATTCGGCTTCAATGCCGCTGAGAGTCGACTCCATTGCCGCTACGAGTCGAGACAAAGCCAACCGCTTAAGGAAACACAGGTCCACAGCCAGTGTTCCAACGAAGTGACGGACTAAAAACCGCCTTCGGGAAGTAAAGAGGGATTGTGTTTGATGTGATTGTCTTTCGACATGATCGTCTTTAACATGAACTCTTGGAGCGCACGTGCCAAAAAGCAACTGCTCCCCCTTTGTCGGCTTGAATGCCCCTTAGGTGCGTTTCATCGGATCTTCCAGCTTGCTGGTGGCTCGAGGAAGAGATTCTTGTTGTAGTCTCCCGAGTTGCACATGAGCCGTCATGCTTGTGCCAAAGTCCTCTTGTAGTCTCCTCGCTTCGACAGTTCTTATCAGACTTCGCGCCCTGTTCCAGTTCCGCTGTAGCTACCTGGGTGCAGTACAGGTCGCCGTTCTTGCGTCTGGATCTTGTTGTAGTCCCCTCGCTCGACCGGTTCGAGCAGGGTGTTGTAAGCTGTCGTAGCTGCCTAGGTCGAGCATGAGCCATCTTGCTTGCGCTGAAGTGCTCCCGAGTCCTCTCGCCCGCGAACGTTGAGCATCTCATAAGCTGTTGTGGCTACCTGGGAGCAGTACAAGTCGCCGTACTTGCGCCTGGATCTCGTTGTAGTCCCCTCGCTTGACCGGCTCGAGCAGGGTTTGGTAGGCTGTCGTAGCTTATTTCAGATTTGTAGCTGTCTGGGTGCAGTAGAAGCCGCCGTATTTTGTCCGGGGGTCTGTTGTAGTCCTCTCGCTTGACTGGTTTGGGTAGGGTGTTGTAAGCTGCCGTAGCTACTTTGGGTCCTGTTGTAGCTGCCTGAGTGCAGTATAAGCCGCCGTGCTAGCTCCGGAGGTCTATTGTAGTACCCTCGCCCGACCGAGCTGAGTAGGGGTTTGTACGTTGTCGCGACTTGAAGGTACAGTGCGTGGGTGCACTTGGTCAGATTTCCGGCGTGCGTCTTGTCGAGCAGAACTTCCCGCGCTGTTGTCGCTAGCTTAAGGGGCCCGCTGCTATTTGCGCGATTCCCACCATTCCCCGCTTGATCTTTCTAGTCGGTCGAGCGATGTAATGTTCTAGTATGGACAGTGATCTGGTATTTCGCGTGTCGGCAGGTTCTATGAGCGTAGTAGTCCAGGAATTGGTGGGAATAGAGGTTGACATCGCGTTGTTTAATGCATATATTGGCCATGGAGTCCGCATTAGAGCCACATTGTTACAGCGTTATGGTGACTACATAGGTTTCGAGGTATATCTGTCGTCACTTTACTCATCCTTGAATCTTTTTGTCGTCGGACAGCGTCACCTCGGATGGGTGATACAACAAGAACCTAGGTATGCGTGCACCTCAGGGAAACGACCTCGGGAGCTTCATGTAAGCAAAGCATTGAGATTCGATCTGACTCTAGCGAAATAGCGATCAATCACCTGACAAATGTAACGCATCGTATACGTTGAGCCTTCGCCGATGGTGTCATTCGTTGGCGCCGACATCGCCATTGATGCAGGCACCGCGCATGGCGGGGTTGGACTTGTGCGTGCGGCGGGGCAGGACGAACGCAATTGCATTCAATGAAACACAAATGCCTTCGCAGTGTGTTTCCGTTCGTAGACAATCGTCAATCAGACTACGGCGACGCCAATGCTAATCATGCAGCGGCCTAGTCGACGCGTGCAGGCGATCCGGAATTTGACAGGGCGAGACGCGGTCCCTTGACTCAACTGCGATCCCGGAGTCATCACAACATTTTTCCCCACGGGGACCATTACTTCACATCGCCTTTGGGACATACACGACAGCCGTCACCAATTACACTTTTCTAATTTGCATTTCGCTAGATCGTTGATTGGTATTACACATAATGTCCTCCCACACATCATCGCAGCGGTACCTGAGTACCCGAGGAGGATCCTATGACGTGAGAGCGACCCGGCGAGGATGCGCTCAGACGGTTGCTAACAAGGCATAGTTCTCTTTCGAGGAAGTCGTCCTCAAGGGTCTCGCTTCAGACGGTGGCCTCTTCATCCCCGAGGAAATCCCCACGCTGCCCGACGACTGGGCGTCCAAGTGGAAGAACCTCTCCTTCGCAGACCTCGCCTTTGAGATCTTCTCCCTCTATATCTCCCCGTCCGAGATCCCGGCCGCAGACCTGAAGGACATCATCCACCGCAGCTACTCCACATTCCGCGCACAAGACGTCGTACCCACCGTCACGCTCGACAAGGAAAAGAACATACATTTGCTGGAATTGTTCCACGGGCCTACATTCGCCTTCAAGGATGTCGCGCTGCAATTCCTCGGCAACCTTTTCGAGTACTTCCTCGTGCGCAAGAACCAGGGCAAGACCGGACGCGACAGGGAGCATTTGACCGTCATTGGCGCGACAAGTGGTGATACCGGCTCAGCAGCCATCTACGGCCTGCGCGGAAAGAAGGATGTGTCGGTCTTCATCATGCACCCACATGGCAAGGTCAGCCCGATCCAGGAAGCGCAGATGACAACCGTCATGGACGCCAACGTTCACAACTTGGCTGTAGACGGCACATTCGACGACTGCCAGGTATGCACATTTAGTAGTAGTAGTGGTAGACACAACTAACGCGCCCAGGACTTTGTTAAAGCCCTCTTCGCAGACCCCGAGATCAACAAGACGCACCGCCTCGCCGCTGTCAACTCGATCAACTGGGCTCGAATCCTCGCACAGATCACCTACTTCTTCTACTCGTACTTCGACCTCATCAAGCAGGAGTCCTTCCTCCCCGCCTCCACCGTCCGATTCGTCGTACCCACGGGCAACTTTGGCGACATCCTCGCCGGCTTTTTCGCGAAGCGCATGGGCCTACCAGCCGAGAAGCTGGTCATAGCCACGAACGCGAACGACATTCTACACCGCTTCTGGGAGACTGGAAAGTACGAGAAGAACCCCGTACATGGAAAGCAGGCTGAGGGCGGTATCCCTGAGGATGGCGCCAAGGCGCACGAGAGTGGAGTCAAGGAGACGCTGAGCCCAGCCATGGACATCCTCGTCTCGTCCAACTTCGAGCGGTTGCTCTGGTTCCTGTCATACGACGTGTACAGTTCAAACTCAGACGCC